TGGAAACATTAAATTTATTGTTTTGTTCTCTCCTTTTCTTTCTCATGCGACCTGACAAATTTATCACTCTTTCACACTGTAAAGAGAGATCCATGGATTTAGATTATGATAAAAACATATCTAGGTGGGAAATTTCCTGTAGGTAGTCTTAATGTTTTCATAAAATAAAATAACAAGTATGTTTTATAAAGAAAGTAAGCAAATCTATATTTTCTACTTTAATTAAAATATTAAATACCATTTTATTTAAATGTTAATAATTCATTAGATTTAATGTTAAATACCGAATGCATAACTATTTTAATTAAACTTTAAAGAACATTAAATCAATGTTGGGAGAAATGCATTCTGGAAACCTTTAAAAAAAGTTTTTTAATCTAAAAAGAGTGATGTTTGAAATTCACTAGGAAAGTCCAAGTAAATGGAAATAAAATTTAAGTAATTTTTCAGAGTAATTGGATTCAAGAGGAAGTACAATGACTAAAGGTTGGACTAACAAACAAAATATATTCTTTCTCCTTCTTTCTCTTAAAACTTCCATTCTTTTTTGAATGCTTCACAAATGTGTAATTTCTACAGACATCAGACCTGTCTAGTACAGAATATTCTGAGAGGGTAATATATGTATACAGAAAGAAATGAAACTTTTGGAGAGAGCATTATTTAACAAATGTGATTTCTACTCAGTTTTAGAAACAGCACATCAGAACCAATCTCCCTATACTAAAACAATGAAATGTTCAATATTGTAGCAAGAGAGAAAATTGTACAATTTAAAAAATATTAACATGTTGGTAGTATGAACAGTAAGAACAGAATCTGATATACAGTAGTCCCCCCTTATGCAAATAGTATATACTCCAAGACCCCCCCACTGGATGCCTAAAACTTCGGATAGTACCGAACCTACACATACAATGATTTTTCCAATACATACATACACTTTACAGCTACTTTTTGGCATATCTGAATTGCCAGCATCACTACTCTTGCATTTTGGGGCCATTATTACATAAAATAAGGGTTACTTGCATACAAGCACTGTGATCCCATAACAGTGAATCTGATATGATCAGAGATGGCTACTAAGTGATTAACGGGTGGGTAGAGTACACAGCATAGAAACACTGGACAAAGGGATAATTCACATCTCAAATGGAACAGAGCAGAGCAGGAGGGTGAGAGATTTTATCACACTATGCAGATGGCATGCAATTTAAAACTTAAGAATTGTTTATTTCTTGAATTTTTCCATTCAGTACAGTATTTTCAGATGGCGGTTGACCACCAGTAACTGAAACCACAGAAAGCAAAACCTCAGATAAGGGGGGACTACTATAAATCCTTTAAAAACCAACAAATACGATAAAAAAAAATTTATGTCCAACGCAGAGTGAATGCTAACATTTTAAAGTAGGAATTTTTTAGTATTTTATTTTTATTATTAGTTTCAAGTATACAGTACATTGGTTAGACATGTATATAGTTTATGAAAAGATTTCCCCCAATTACTCTATCACCCCTCTGGCTCTACAAATAGCCATTACATTACTGCTGATTGTAATCCCTATGCTGTGCTCCCCATCCCTGTAACCATCTATCAACTACTAATTTGGACTTCTTTAACCCTTTACTCCCTTCTCCCAGCCCCCAATCTCTCTTTGCTCTCTGTATTTGTGAGCCTGTTTTTGATTCTTAAAAGATCTTGAAGCCTTTGCTATCAAACCCACACTCTCTGAAGCTACTAGCACTGCTAGGTAAAAAGGAAATTGTTACCCTCAGCTATAAACCCCTCATAAATAACTTGTAAGAAAAATGGCCCTCATAAGTAACTTGTACTGTTAGCAGCAATGTTCCCAAATGTCATTTCCAGTCATTAATCAGATGAAATTGGGGAAATCTGAGAAAATCCATTTGAGGGGTTATAAAAATATACTAATGATTCTGGTAAAATCAAATGCGTAAATTCAAAAAATTCAAGCATAATCTGGCAATTTTGACAAGACTTATGAACAGACTATAAAGTAATTATGAATTACTTTATCATTGAATCACTACTTTATAATTAATTTATAATGAATCACCAACCTTTGTTACTGTCGTCGTTTATTATAGCCATCTTAGTGTGTGTGAAGTCAAAACCTCATTACGGTTTTGATTTTCATTTCTGTGATGACTAATGATGTTGAGCATCTTTTCATGCATTTATTATTCATTTGAATCTTCTTTGAAGAAATGGTCATTCAGATCCTTTGCTCATGTTTTATCTTTTTATTATTGAGTTATAAGGTCTTTATATATTCTATACACAAGTCCCTTACAAAGTTCCCCAACCTTTTTGGAACCAGAGACAATTGCTACTATGAGAATCTAATGCCTGATGATCTGAGGTGGATCTGAGGTGGATCTGAGGTGGATCTGAGGTGGTGATGCTAGCGCTGGGAAGCAGCTGCAAAGACAGAGGAAGCTTTCCTAGGTAGCCTGCCGATCACCTCCTGCTGTGAGGCCTGGTTTCTAACAGGCCATGGACTGGTACTGGTCCACAGCCTGGGGATTAGGGAGCCCTGCCTTATAATTTGCAAATATCTTCTCCCATTTCGTGAGCTGTCTTTTCACTTTTTTAATAGTGTCTTTTGAATCACAAAAGTTTATAGTTTTGATTAAGTCCAATTTGTCAATTTTTTTCTTTGGTTATTTGCACTTTTGGTGTTGGATCTAAGATACTGTCTAATCCAAGATTTACTCCTATGTTTTTTTCTAAGAGTTTTATCATTTTAGATCTTACATTTAGGTCTATAATCTGTTTTGAGTTAATATATGTACAAGGTGTGAGATAAGGGTCCAATTTCATTCTTTGCATGTGGATATCTAGTTATTCCAGTAGCATTTGTTGAAAAGACTTTTCCTTTCCCCACTGAATTGTCTTGGCACTCTCACTGAAAATAACTGCCCACAGAATCTGTGTGTATTTTTGGATTCTCAATTCTATTTCATTTATCAATATGACTATCCTTATGGCCGTACTACACCTTTTTGATTACTATTGCTCTATAATAAGTTTTGATGCATTTTTTTCTTACTATACTTTTCTTTCACTGAATATATTCTGCTAAACACAAATTTTCATTTATAATACATGCTATATATAACATAATAATGGAGATCTTTAACATACACGTTTATTTACACACAAATGAATAAATACTCTCTACAAAATAAATTTATAGATTGGGCAAAAGGACTATGTATTTTAAATTTTGATAGACATTGACAATTTGCCTTTCGAAAAGATTATATCAATTTACGTCCCTACCAATAACATATGAGAAAGTCTGTTTACCCTATATATTCTGCAAGCAATGTATTGTCAAACTTTTAAATCCTTACTCTATATAATTTTTCTCACTTTTTAATCTTTTCTGTTGTGCTAAATCCCATTTAACTAACAAGTACATTAAAAAAATGATTTATTACTAATAAAATGTTTCTATCAGCAACTGCATTTTTCAGAATTTACCTGATATAATAGTTTAAAAGGAAAAAAATAAATGTTCAAAGTAGTGTCATTTGTAATATAGAAAAAAATAACTGCACACTAAGACCTGATCAACAAGAAGACACTTAATTAAAATATGATATATTTACTAAACAGAGTATATCCAACTATTAAAAATTATAAATGTGTAGTCTATAGCTATATAAAAATCCTTTATCTTCATGTTTAAAAGCAGGATAAAAAATTGTATGTACATTCTGTACACTGATTAGAACTACTTTAAAATTGCACAGGCATATAGAAATGGGAATATATAAATGATTATGGGTAATTTTCTCTTAATTTTTAAACTTTCTATAACTTTTTAGAATTCAAGTCATAATTAGAGAATATGTTGATAAACGGATTACTTTACATTAAAAATATACTTACTGTGATGATGCCAATTAGTTGAGTATAAAAAAGTCCAGTTATTCCAACTAACATAGTAATGCCCATAAAGGCAGCTAGTCTCATTATGGCCAATTCATGTCTAACAAGAAAGAGGTCCTATAAGAAAAAGAAAGTTTTAAAAACAATTCAAGACGTTTTTTATAGTTGCAATAATAATCAAGAATTGAGCCATAACATTTCTCCTTATTATCTTAAGAAAAAATACTCTCCCCCTTTTGGAGTTTATTTCACTTAATTGATATACAAATATTTTAAAATTTTGAAAATAATTTTTTATCAAAATTATTGGGGTGAATTGGTTAATAAAATCTAATAGGTTTCAAGTGTACAATTCAATAAAACATCATATGTATAGTGCACTGTGTGTTTACCATCCAAAGCTAAATTTCCTTCCATCACCAAATGTTTCATAGAAGCTGGAAAATAGGATTTACTACTCTACTGTGTCAAGAAAAACCTCAATCCTAAGGTTGCAAATTAGCCACATTTGTTTACTATTTGTAGCAAAAAAAAAAAAAAAAAAACCTCTAAAAAAACAAAACAGATGGTGTAGAATCTTTGGCTCCACAAAAGGAAATTTTATTTTTGCATGGCTAAAAAGCTTGAATGAATAAGCTAAACCGTAGTATTAAAGTTCAAGTGACCATGATATTTAGAGATTATGTAATTTACTTAAAGTGAGGGGGATAATAATAATAGGACCATATGGATCCTTCAAGTTCACTTTATTCATTCATCTACCCACTCACCAACCACCACTGCCAAGCACTATGCTATATAGTAAAAGTGTAATATAAAAATGTGGTCTGTGCCCTTAAGAAATACTGCAGTTTACTTAGAAAATCCAGCTTCACAAAACTCCGAAACAATGTGATATATGCTATACTAGAGATGCACACATGGAGGACTGCAGAAACATGAAGGAATGCCTAGATGAGAAGGAGAAATGGAAATGATGTAACGGAAAGCTGATTTTCTGGTTCAAGGCATAAAAATGAGGGTCTTAAAAGTTAACCAAAGAAACTGTAGTGGAAGGAGAGTAAAACTAGGGGAAGCATTTTATTTGCAGTCCCTGTTACCAACTATACAGAACAGAGGAGAGAGAATGAAAGAACGACTTCTCCTGGAAACCTGTTATTGCTAGGCTTTGGTATGAAATGGCCACAGTGGATAAAAGCAACAAAAGAATGGGAAGGACCCCCAAAACATAACCACCGACACGCTTTCTTAATACCGATTCAGGGTAAGGCTTAAAGGTATCCTGGCAGCGATACCGAAAACAGAAAGGTCATTTAACATAATGAGCGTGCTTAAAACAAAAGAACTGATGCTTTTCTGTGTATCACAGTGATCATCTACCAGACTCAAACAAAAATCAGATTCCATACCCAAATCACTCAACTCATTAGCCTGGAAGAACTTAACATTCACCAGGACACTCAGGTGTTATGTAGCAGGCAAATATTAGGCAGTCATTTCAAAACTTCAGTAAAAGAGCCTAATGACGAATCCTTACAAAACACTTAAAGATGAAAAGATGGGGCTATGAATGGTATAAAAAAAAATTCAGCACAGTAAGTTCTGCTATAACGCTGTTTGAAAAAACAAATTTGTTCCAACATGGTTGATACATTAAGCAGTAACTCGAGCATAGCAAGCATTTTGTGTTCACTTGTGCATTTTATCTGTGAGAAACCCTAGATGAACACAAAAAACTGCAGTCACTAAACCAAGGCATATAGGAATACACAAAATACACGGACGCCCTTCAAACATCTACCAGCTATTCCATTTATCTTAATGTGTTATGAGCCATACTCATCTACCTCTGATATTACAACTTACCCTTCAAATTCAGATGACCCTACTTCTGTCACTTCACCATAACTCACACACTGTAATCCTCTGATGCCACTTCCACAAGAAAACTTCAGATCTCTTTTAAAGTGCCATGTTCATTATAGTATTTATGCATTTCTTAACTATTTAATGTGTGTAAAACTGTGCTGCTGTTTTTATTAGGTTCCTACTCATTTAAGTGTCACTGACAAAAATTTTTCAGTGTTGTACCTCCATTCTCCCATAAGTCCTGAGGTTTTCAATGCATGATTTTGCATAGTTGGGTGAATAACACAGGAATGCACATACTGTTATACTAGAGCTAACTGCAATAAAAATACAATATATGACCAAATAAAATGCATCTTCTCTTCTCCCAATGACTTAAAAAAAATTTTTTTTGCCAACAAGAATTTATAAATGTTAAAAATGAAGATGAGACTAAAAGATCTACTGACAATATTACATTTATTCATTTGGTTATACCTTTAAGAATTGTAAAAATATTTTAGAAATGGTTTTTTATTACTTACATTTTTTTAAAAAGTTGTATTCTAAGTTTACACATACATAACCATAGTTTGAGTCATTTCACACAGTCCTCCAGAGCATAACATCTTTACTTCTTAGATTTCTTCTTTAAATATAGCACTTTTTAAATCAAAAAATTGGCTTGGGGAATTATATCCAAAATCACAAAAACTCATTTGTTATTTAAAATCTTGACTACAAAATCAATATTGTGGCTGAATTGTGTCTCCCCAAAACCCTCCCCAGAATGTGATTGTATTTGGAGATATGGCCTTTAAAGAGGTGACTAATTTAAAATGAAGCCCTTAAAGTGGGCACTAATCAAATCTGGCATCCTTATAAGAGGAAATATAGAAACAAAGAGACATCAGTGTTGCTCAAGCACAGAGGAAAGACTATGTGAGGACAAGGCAAAAGGTCATCCGCACATCAAGGAAAGAGGCCTCTAGAGAAACCAAACCTGCCTGACATCTTGATCTTGGACTTCTAGTCTGCAGAACTGTGAGAAAATGAATTTCTGTTGTTTAAGACTCCCAGTCTCTGGTATTTTCTTATGACAGCCCAAGCAAGCTAATAAATGTATTTCTTCCCATTTGTGGTTAAGAAATGTACTGATATATAGATAAATGCAAAAAATACAAGTTCAGTTTAGAGAAAAGTGACACTACCCTCTCAAGAATGGGAACTTTTGAAACCATGCAGAGGCTTTCCCCTGTGCATCCCTTCCCCATCACATTATTTCCCTCATTCCTACTCAAAAGGTAAAGGTTGCCAATTCATTCTTCAGACATTTTGGGTACTACTATGTTTCAGTCGCATTATTGCAAATATCTTCACCTACTCTGAGTGTACTTTTTTCTGGTCTTAATGGCATCTTTTGATAACTCGAAGTTCTTAGTTTTAATGTAGTCCAACTTATCAATCTTTTCCTTTAGCGTTTTTTATTTCCTATTTAAGAAATCTTACCCAACCCTAAGGTAATAATGACATTCTCTAAAGCCTTTAAAAGCTTTAGAGTTTTGCCTTTCATTTTTAGGTCACTAATCCACTCGAAATTGGTATTTACTCTTTTGAGCACAGTAAAATATAGCAGTCTGAATTTACTTTTCCTATATGGATATCCAATTGCTCCAGAATGGATTATTTAAAAAACTGTCCTTTCTTCAATGATCAGAGTTCAAGTGTCCATGCATGCATGAGTATGATGTAGGCTCTCTCTTCTCTTCTCCTGGTTTATCTGTTTATCCCTGTACCAATGACACACGTCTTAGTTACTATAGCTTCGTAATAACTCTCCATATCTAGTAGGCTAAGTCATCCCCTCTTATTCTTTTTCAAGACTATCTTGATTATTCCAGATAATTTGTACTGGCATAAAAAAAATTTTAATTAGATTTTCAACTTACAACACACACTCAGGCATGCACAAACATATAAGATATTCTATTAAGCTTCACAATTTCCCGCTAGAGGTCTTGTATTTTTTTGTCAGATTTATTTCAGGAACTCTGTTTCTTGATTCTATTATAAATAACTCTGCTATTAGTTTCACTGTCTAAAGGATGTTTGTTAGCATATAGAAAATAGAATTGATTTTTAAAATATTGTTTTGTAGTCATACTTCCTAAACTTAAAATCAAAAAGAATCTATGGACAAATCATTTACAAAATCATATCATCTAAGAGTGATGACAGTTTTATTTCTTTGAGCAGTTATACCATTTCTTTCTTTCTCTTGCCTCACTGCACTGAAGAGAACTCTGATCACTACATTTTTAACAATGGTGATGAGGGCACAGCGGGCATCAATGCCTTGTCCCCCAGCTTGGAAAGAGGTCAACATTTCATCATTAAATATGCTATAGATGTTGTGTTGTTTTGTGGGGGTGGGGCTGGGGGTTCTGGCAGGGGGAAACCTTTTATCTCATTAAATATTTCTAGTTCTAGTTTACTAGGAATTTATAACATGAACACATGCTGATTTTTAGTTTTGTCTTTATATATTGATATAGTCTTTATAGATATGATTTTCCTCCCTTATCTGTTAATGTGATAAAATATACTGACTGGCTTTCTAATGTAAAAACCACCTTTCATTCCTAAGATAAACTCAGCTTCGTCAGGCTGGTTATATATAACCAGATTCAGTTTGGTAATATTTTGTTTAGGAGTTGTTATCTATGTTCATAATCAGATTAGTCTATAATTTTTTTTCTTTTTCTTATTATCTTTGATAGATTATGTATCAAATATATGCTATACACATAAAATGAGTTGGGGCAAGTTCCTCCTTATTCTATTCTTTTAAAAAGTTTATGTAAGACTAGAATTATTGTTTACTTTCATATTAGCTAGAGCTAGAATTCACTGGTAAATCTATAAATATTAACATTCTTTGCATGAAATATTTTAACAACTCACTCATGATTACAGAATTACCCATGTTTCCAATTTCTTCTTGAAACAATTTTCTTCTTAAAGCTATACTATGTTTATGATCAAGAAACTCAATAATGCAAAGATGTGAACTATCCAAACTGATGTATAGAACTAACACAATCACAATAAAAATCCCTCATCACTGGAGTATACAGTCTACTGGTAGGAGTTTTTTATTTTACTTCGTTTTGATTTGCAGAAATTGCTAAGTAAGCTGTTTCTAAATTTCATAGGAACAAACAAATACAAAAATAATAGCATACTACTCCTATATAAAAAGAACAGGG